CTCTCGATTCTCGATTCTCGGCGTTCGACCTCAGAGGCAGGTCTCTCGATTCTCGATTCTCGGTGTTCGACCTCAGAGGCAGGTCTCTCGATTCTCGATTTTTGGGGTTCGACCTCAGAGGCAGGTATCTCGATTCTCGATTCTCGGTGTTCGACCTCAGAGGCAGGTCTCTCGATTCTCGATTCTCGGCGTTCAACCTCAGAGGCAGGTCTCTCGATTCTTGATTCTCGGTGTTCGACCTCAGAGGCAGGTCTCTTGATTCTCGATTCTCGGCGTTCGACCTCAGAGGCAGGTCTCTCGATTCTTGATTCTCGCTGTTCGACCTCAAGGGCAGGTCTCTCGATTCTCGATTCTCGGTGTTCGACCTCAGAGACAGGTCTCTCGATTATTGATTCTCGTCGTTCGACCTCAGAGGAAGGTCTCTCGATTATTGATTCTCGGCGTTCGACCTCAGAGGCAGGTCTCTCGATTCTCGACTCTCGACTTTCGACCTAAACGGTCTCTCGATTCTCGGTGTTCGACCCCAGTGATGGGTCGCTCGATATTTGATATTGGTGGTCATTCGGTATTCATTTGGGGTCTCGATGCTCACTTGGAGGATTGATAACTATTTGGTGGCCGAAGATTTATTCAAATCGTAACGTAAGTGGCTGGTCGACGGAAACAATCCGAAGAGGAATTTTCACTCTTAGATCGAGTCATGCTTACTCGACCAGAGTGGGGGGGACTAGATGATATAGGATATTATACTGGACCCGATTTAATGGATAAAGCGGATATATATTGGAGGATAAGCCCACTAAGACATCCAAGCCCAACGATAGGGGTCAAGCCCAACTTGGGCCCAAAAGGTATACTCCCCCTATAAAAGGGGGCCAAGGTACCTCATATTCTCTATTCATTGATTACTACACACTCTCTCTCTTGATATGAGGACTGACTTAGGCATCGGAGGCCCGACGCCGGGGCCACCCCTGGCGTTGGGTTCTGCAGGTACGAAGGCCGGTTCGAGTTGAAGGAGCCCGGGTGAAATTTATTCACTTCAGTATGTAAACACGCACTAATGGACTTGTTTAAACACACGTAAGAACAAAAAGTTCCCCCTTTGAGATTCACTCATCAATTCCAAGACACAACATGTTTATTAATGAGGAGGTACATGGGTATTTATAGGTGCAAAATAAATCTAATTCTAATGTAGCTAGATCTCCTAAACTGTGCAGTAAATAAATCCTAATGCTAGTAAATCTCCTAGCATCATCTAATAAAAGCAATATGGAAATATAATCCTACTACTACAAAAATACTAATATTTGGCTTGCACACCAAGCAATTCTAGAAGCCCAAGTCTTTTTCGCACGCCCAAACTCTCGACCACCTCACTTCCTTCGGCCCAGCTCGCGCGCACGCCTTCGGTCGCCTAATCCTAGTCGCCCTCGGCGTCCAGCGCGCTAGCCCCACACGCGCGCGCTGTTGCATGTGCCTCGCCCATTTCTGCGTCCCGCCTGCGCGTGCGCACCGCTCCCTTGTCAAGCCTAGTCCCACACGGACTAGGTCTCGCGCATCCGCTGGCCACTCGCGCGCCAGTGCGTGCCTCTCGCCCCATCCGAATTCCCCGCGTGCGTGCGTGCTACCCTCCTCGTCTATGCCTATCGTGCATAGGCATGCGTCCGTGCATATCGTCCACTCACACACCATCGTGCGCCTTGCGCTCACGCTAGCTGCCTTGCACGAGTACCGTCGCGCGCTCACTACTCCTATCCCTTCGCGGACTAGACCGTTGTCCCCGTTACGCCTATTCGCGCGCGATGTGCACCCCGAACGCCCATCGTTCATTGCTCCGCGCGTCCTACCAACGCCCGTGCGCTGCCCGCATGTTCCCAGCGTTCGTGCGTGCTTGCGCGTATCTAGCTAGTGCTCTCTTGCCTTGCGCATTATCATTCGATGCGCACCCTTTGCATATTAGCTTTTACTTTTCACTAGCTTCGCAGGTGCTAATCTCCAAGCTCCATGCGCGTCTACGCCAATGCGCGTGTGCGCGCCCTTCTTGAATGCGCCCTTTCTTGCGTGTCCTTACGCCTCGCATACGAGCTTGTACCCGTGTCTTTGGCCATGCATGCGTCATTTTGGCCCTTTTCCCGACCTCATAAGGTCGTCTCGGCTCCTGGACCTTCTTGTCTTCGGGGGCCAAAACCCACTTACGCATCATTCCCGCCCTCTTTAAGACTGTCCTTGTCCTCAAGGACTCATCCTCGACCATCCAAAACTCGGGCACTCCTTCTTCGATCATGCGTACATCCCACTCACGGTCCTCGTCGACCTCGACCAAAAACTCGCTATCGTCTACGACCACCTCTTTATCCGCACCGTACTGCGCATGCGTCTCCTCATCATAGCCTCCATCACTCACGACCAAGATTGCACCAATGACCTCGGTCCCTTCGACTCCTTCAGCCTCGCCGTCGATGTGCGCCGCTTCACCCTCTTCCCCAGGCACACCCTCTTCGTCCTCGTCCATGAACTCGTCGGTGAACGATGGTTCCTCGTACTCGACTTGGTTGACCTCACATTCAGCGACCTTGTCTCCATCATACCCCGATAGATAGTACTTAAACAAAGGCTCTTCTTCGACGAACTCTTTCATGATCTTGAGTTGTCGTTCGTACTTCTCCTTTTGCTCATACAACTCCTCCAAATATTTTTGCTCCCATGGGGTCAAACTCCTCTCCAACCCTTCTAAATATTCAAGATCCTCCCAATCCATCAACTAATGGCTCGAACAACATTTTTTTATTTTTTTACTCTTTTCAAAAAATTCGAACAAAATCAAAAAAATATATATATTTTTTTTTACTCTAGAAAAATAACAAAAGACTAGATGAAACTTTTTTTTAAGACTCAAATTTCGAAAAAATAAAGGAAAATTCGAACAAAAAATTCGAACTCCCAAAAAGAACAAAAATTTGAAAAAAATCGAACCAAAAAAGAAGGAAAAATTTGGCCCCTCAACAAAAGACAAACCAAAAAAAAAAAAGGAAAAGATAAGATAGACAAAAATTCGATCAGCACCTCTCAATGAAAGCACCAATGATGACGGATCGGATTTCTTTCTATACGGGTTGTGAATAAACGCGCACTCAGGGCCTTCGTTTACTCACGATAGGTGTATCTAACAGACGCACTATTGGCCTTATCCTAGACACTGTGACTTCAAGACGCTCTAATGGCCTTCTCTCTGACACTGTATATAAACACGCACTAATGGCCTTGTTTAAACACACGTAAGAACAACAAGTTCCCCCTTTGAGATTCACTCATCAATTCCAAGACTCAACATGTTTATTGATGAGGAGATTCACTCATCAATTCCAAGACATCAGAAACAATGAGGGAGCATCCCTATTTATAGATCCTAACTATGACTAGTTCTAATCTACCTAGGAAACTTATTAAAGCAATAAAATATTAAATTCCTAAACAATCTAGATCTTCTAAAGCAATAAGGAAACTAAATATACTAGAGTCCTAATTTCTAAGTCCTCAAATCTCTTTGCTTTGCTTGCACTCCAAGTCGGTTGACCCTATGGCAACCGCCTCATGTGCGCGCGCCTTCACATGCCTAATCCTCGTCGGGTTTGGTTTCTTGACCGCACGCGCTACACGCGTGGGTCCCCGTGCACGCGCCTCTCAGCTTGCGCGCTCCCCAATCGCGCCCCTCGGCTTGCGTCGCACGCTTGTCGCTTGTTCCTCGCGCGTGCGTGTCCGTGCCCGCTACACCTACTCTTGCTCGGCCTTGGTTTCCGCCTGCGTACCTGCCACCCGCGCGCCTCGCGCGCTCCGCACGCTCATCGTTCGTTGCTTCGTGAGTACTGCTAACGCCCGCGGCCTGCTCAACTGTCGTGCACCCGCGCGCTCCCGGTATCGTCCGTTCATCACCCACGTATGTGTTGCGCGCGCCCAGCTCCTTGACGTCGCTCCCGCTATTCATGCACTCACCATGCACGCCAGGCTCCCGTGCATCACTCGCACGTTCCCTTGACCAACCGCGCGCATCTCTTGCCCGATTATTAGACTTCTTGCGCGTATTAAGTCCCGATGCGCGCTCTTTGCTCGTGCTCGCGTCCATTGGCCCAGTGCAATCACCCGCCAGCATCCACCACCCATCTTCAACCCCTCGCACACCATACCTTTTAGCCTCCATCTTCCATGCTCGCCTCTTCCTTGCACAAGGCTTACACCAACAAATTTATTCTTGTCTTTGCCTTGCGTTTCCTTCATGCTCGTTTGGTCTTGCACTTCTTAGGCTTTAGCTTGGACTGTGGACCACAACCTTTCAGCCAGTCCATTTTGCACGAAGGCCGATATATCAGGCTTGACGGCTCCTCTAGCATATTTTCCAACCATATGTTGAGGTCGTCGCAATCCTCATCTTCGGACTCGCCTGGGTTGATGACCACTTCCGTATCAGCCGGGCGCGAGTACACGCGTGTAGCAAGTCGGTGCGCCCTAGTGCTGCTCGAACTAGGCAAGACACGTGGACGGTGCTAGGAAAGGCGGTGCGTGGGGTTTATGGCCGAGAGAGATAGAAGGAGATCCTTGGTGTGCAAGGATTAGATTTAATTTGTGCCTATATAAAGGGCCTTCCCCTATGTTATTTATCATCATTCAAGAATTAATAGAAATCCAGAACTTCTGTTCTTCAACTTTGCTTTAGTTTTTCACCAAAATACTACAACAATGTTATTCGTTTCAATAGGCGCGGTTGTGGCTAGAGAAACAATATCGGCGGTTCAAGGCGCGAGTTAGCGGCTTATCGGCAATCGAAAGACACGATCCTCATCATTGGTGCTTTGGTTGAGAGGTGTTGATCGTGTGTTTTTTTCTACCCCATTCCCTTTTCTTTTCTTCCCCTTTTTTATTTCGTTCGATCCAAAAA